TTCTTTCTTCTCTAACTTATTCCCTTTCTTGCCTAAGTAGCTCTCTTTCTCTCTCATTATCTTGAAATGCTTTCTCAACAACTGCAACATTTGCCTCCTCTTTAGCCTTATCAGCCTCAAATTTCACCATTTCCCACCCCAAAGTTAATTCATCTTGACGAGCAAGTTGTTTCATATACTTTGCATTATCATTCTTCGAAGCACTCCCTTTTCTCTTTGAAGCCTTCTTACCTTGAGGCCTAATTGGATAACGGGTCAATCCTGACGCTTGTTCAAGAGGGAGTATTTTGGGCACTTCTTCTGCTTCATCTTCATAAACATGCGAGCTATGATCAGGTGTAGAGTGTAGAAGGGTGCTGTTCATGAAAACTTATGGACTGACATGCACAACTTTGAATTTAGGACAATCTTTGACAATATTCCAACATTTCACTGGTTGAACGATTTATTTTTGGCTTTGGTTTTGGTTTTGGCACCATACCAAGCTTGTGCTTGAAGTAGGTAACAAATAAATAATACAAACAAATAATTATAAAGAAAGTAGGTAACAAATAAATAATACAAACAAATAATTATAATGAAAGTAGGTAACAAATAAATAAATAATATATTGTTACCTAATTCGCATAATTTTCCCCACTTCGAATATTAGTACTGGCTTGTGCCAAGGCGTCTCTCCACGTACTAAACGATTGGCTAAGTAATTTCCAACGACTGGACATTGATTCTTTGGTTCTTTTCCCACTTATTTTCTCAAAATAATTGGTATGAATAAGGCTCCACATTTCTCGCAACTGCATCTCATTGCCCGTAAGCGAACTATGAGTAATTTCGACCCAGCTAGTACACAACGCAATATCTTCAAGAAGCATCCATTTCGTACCTATATCAATAGTCATTTTGTTGAAAAAAAAAATTGGATTGAAACTTTGAGAGAAATATAGGAATGTGGTTGAAAGTAGTTGAAAAAATATGAAATTATGATGTAAGGTAGATGATAATGAGAAGGTATTTATAGAAAAGTAAAACTATTTTTTTTAAAAAAATTTCAATTTTTCTTTTCGGATTTTTGTCATTTTTTACAATTTTTTAAATTTTTTTATTCAACTAATTAATCTCTACCGTAGGATTTAAAAAAAAATTGAATTCTAACACTCCAGATTGTGCCACATGGCACAACAGTAACATTTCTAAATTTTAAAACTATTTTTTTATTTATTATAAAGGAGAATAATATAAACTGTTGATCTCAGATCCAACGGTTTATATTAAATAAGATTTTTTTTATTTTTTTTATTGTTGCAAATCGGACGATCCACATTATATAGTTATTGAGATTCAACGATTCATGGGAAGCCACGTGGCTTCACAATGATAACTTTTTGAAACTATGCTGCGGGCCCCAGGCGCTGAAACCGTGTTGGGTGACGCGCCCCTACGCGCGGGTGAGGTGCACGCGCTTGATAGAAAAAATAAAAAATTGAGTTGACACCTAGATGACGTCAATCCTGCGTCAGATCCACTTCGGGCTTGCGGGCTGGCAATTTCTCACAGGCCTGGTGCTTGGGCCTCCACTGTCCCCCGAGCAAACTCCCACGTTGGAGTTGCTCTAAAAATATATATTCTGAAAAGTATGAAATTATGTAGAAGGTGATGTGAAAATTACTGATTGGTTGCTTGCTTGCTTAAGGGATATTTAATCTTTAGGTGCAGGGCTGGTCCAAAGATTTTTGAGATCCAGGGCGACGCCAAAAAAAGTGTCCTAACTTTATACAAGAAAATTATTTATTTTTACACGTAAGACATCAATAAAATTATACTTAGAAAGATACTTCAAACTCAATAATTTAGAAACACAGAAAGACTAATTTATTTTGTATTGAGAGAAGGAAACCAAAAAACTCCGGGCTTACAAGTAGATAGATGATGACTTTTGTCTTCCATTTGAACTTTGAAAGTATTTTTGTATAAATCGTGAGACATTTTTTCTTATTTATTAACCATGTCAATATGGGACTAAAAAAATAATGATGTTTTCGAGTCTTTCATTTATATGTATTAGTAATGAATAGTCACTAAATTAAACCTTTTGATGACGCGTCATATAATTTGCAAATTTGCTTTAAAAATTTGGCCTACGTATGACGCATTGTTGAAGATTAGACTTGAATTGAAACAAATAATTAAAAATAACAACCCACATAGCTACTAGCTAGTAACTAAAAATAAATGAACAGCCAAACAAAAATTTGTAAAAATTGAAAAGAATAAACATGCACTTAGTATTTCGAACTTAGGACCTCTCATCAATTTTAAACAACAAAAACCATTGCTTCTAATTAAACATCTCAATCCTTTAACCAAATTTTACAAATTTATACTCTTATGAAAAGAAATTTGTAAAAATTAGAAAGTAAATAAGCACAGATGGTGTTTTGAACCCAAGACCTCCTCATTATTTTCAAATGACAAAACCACCACTTCTAATTAAATTTCTGTCTCATTGAACCAAATTTTATAAATTTATACTCTTATGAAAACATATATAAATATATCGCCTTAATAATTTTGGTGCCTCTATTTTTTTTGGGCCCCGGACGATCGTCTTGCATGCATTGGTCCTGGGCCGGGCCTGTCCAGGTGGCATAGAAAATGAGCAAAATTTTCAAATGTTCATACGGATGAAGTTGTGGGTGTTCATACTTTATAATTGTTGTTATTTAACTTACTGGCTAATATTGTCAGCAAGGAAACAAACGTCAATCTCCAGGTGGCATAGAAAATGGGCAAAATTTTCAAATGTTCATACGGATGAAGTTGTGGGTGTTCATACTTTATAATTGTGGTTAGTTGTTAACTTACTGGCTAATATTGTCATCAAGGAAATGAACATCAATCACCAGGTGGCGTAGAAAATGGGCAAAATTTACAAATGTTCATACGGATGAAGTTGTGGGTGTTCATACTTAGTAATTGCCATTCGTTAACTTACTGGCTAATCTTGTCATCAAGGAAATAACCATCAATCTCCAGGTGGCATAGAAAATGGGCAAGATTTTCAAATGTTCATATGTATGAAGTTGTGGGTGTTCATACTTTATAATTGTCGTTAGTTAACTTACTGGCTAATACTGTCATTAAGGAAATAAACGTTGACATCCTATGAGTCTTTTTTCACCATATTTTTTAGTATATTTCAAAAAAATTTAGCTGTTAAATAATTGGAGGAGTGTCATAGAATTTTCGTTTTTTTTACAATATAAATGACCAATTCTTTTATTTATACAACGAGATCATGGACATAATTTAAGCTACACAATGAACTATTCATAATGTGGTATAGAACTCATTGTCTATGAGATTTAAATCTATGTCCTCTTATTTATAAGTGAAGAAAAATACTAGTAAACCGTAAATCTTGTAAATACAACTCATTGTGTTCACGACCTACTTATGTCTAACTTAGTAATATAACGTTGTACATCCTCTTACTTACATAAGCTTGTTTAACTTGTGCCTGCCGTTTTTAGTCGCATAATTATGATTAGAATATGAGATAGGATGACGAAGTGAGGTTGACTAGATCGTTAATTAACTTTGGCTTTACTAAGATTAGGGTTGAGAATGGTTTTGTCGAAAATTGTATGAAGTTAAATTCTTTTTATATTGAATGGTTCAACTACTAACTGTACTGATTTTTTTTTATGATAATACTCAAAACCAATCGAGCTATGCAAGCGGTCAAGTTGGAACAATATTGATGTGATTAATGGAACCGGATCACCTCCGAATCCAAAAGAACCGAGCCCAATGACCAAATGATCCAGGCTATTCAAATTTGATCTAACGTCTATAAACAGGGGATCCCTCTAAAAGTTATAATAATTGTAGCCATTGGATCAAAATTCAATGGTCTGAATCATTTGATCCTTGAACTCAATTCTTTTGAGTCCGGAAGGGATCCGATTATGTGATTAATAATGTGACATTGACCCTGAAACTTTCAATTTTTCTACAATTTATAAAAGATGGTTGGCTAAATGACTCAAATGTGTCCAATAAGGTACAAAATGTCAGGGAAGTTTCATTGGGAAGCATCTAATTAATGTAAAAGTTTGGCTATGATGATCATTCTTTTTCTCTTGTGTTCGGAGGATGCTTTTCCGTTTGCAAACCAGTAGCATTTTTAAGACATACTGTAATAAAGATCAAATTACTCCCAAGGTAGTAAGGTGGCCCTAATGTTGTTCCTTCTTTATTGTTTCTCTATATAACCCAGAGCCCCCTTTTTAGCATTGCCTTTTTGATCATCCAACTTTTTGACCTGCAAGTTTTGATCTATTTTTTTTCCCAAATCTCCCATCTCCAAACTGATAAATAAATAATCAATAATCTAAAAAGCACATGCACCAAAGATATCCAACTTTCAGATTTCTCGGTCTCTGAGTTTTATATAAAGAAGAAGAAGAACATGCACCAATCTTGTAGCTTTACTAGATCGGCAAAAGGCATCCATATATTCTTCTTCGTCGCCGTAAAATGTCGAAGCGGGGCAGTGAGAATATCCTCATGCATGCAGCCAGAGTTTTTTTAGGTTAAGATTTGAAATGTATATATTGAACAAAGGTAAAGGAAGACTTTGAAATATAGTTCACAGTCGGCAGCACAAAAAGGTTGTCGATGTGCTTCTTTCTTATATTTTAATAAAATAGATGGCCAAATTTAACTCGAATCATTTCAAGATAAGTGTTTTACCATTAAAGGAATTAATTTTTATAATATAGATCAGCATTTTATGTCATACTAACCTCTTTGCATGCGACATATGCATGTTATTGTGTAGTACTAAAATAAGTCGACTGATATATAACTATAATTCATTCATACATACATTAGATTTGTGCGCTAAATTTGTGCATTAAAACACGTTCCACCATACAAATTTTTATTAAAATTATTAAAAAATTTATTACAATTATCAATTAAATCTAATTTGAATTAAAGTACAATTTAATTGGTGACATTATTTAGTACACAAATTTAGTGTATCTAGAATTATTCTTTTACTATTGGGGCCTTTTAGTATATAACTAGCAAGACTTCCCGCGCGATGTTGCGGGTGCTACATCTTGCTCCTATACAGCCTTATCTACAATAAGGAACAATGAGCAACGTTGAATATAATTCCATCATCAATGCCTTGAACTTGTAGGATCTAAAATCAAATATATATATATATATATATATATATATTAACATCGAATTTCTATTATGGAGAAAAATACTAACATTGGCAAAAGGCAAAGAGAGGAATTCTAAAAAGAAAACTGAGAGTATGGATCAGATTGAATGGAAATCAGAAACAGCAACCACATCAACAATGAAGAATAACAATTGAAAAGGAAAATAATAATTGAACCATAACTGAAAAAGCCATTTGGGAATTCAAACAAAATCCACACAATGCAGTGATCACAATCGTCGAGAGCAACATTGAAAAATGTAGATAAATTCACTAATAAGGCGTATCATAAAAACCCATTGAGATTGAGATTACACTAAATTGAAAAGATTCTTATTAAAATAGAACGCACAATCAAAACAATAATATAGATTACTTTAAATTGCAGAGACTCCAAAGGAATACCGAACTCATTTGACTACATAATTAAAAAAAAAAATTGAATAATGGTAAAAAAAAAAAAAAAAAAAGAAGGATTCATCAGGACAAAAAAATTCTCACATGAAATTCTTAAGTTGCCCAATTAGACCAAGCAAGAAAAACCAGTCGTTAATCAAGAATTCACCAAATAAAACAATGCAAGAATTGACCACATAAACGATGAAAAATTGATTGCAATAATTGGAACAAAGTAACAAACAAAGGGTAGGATTTGTGGCCTCACTGCAATAGATCTAGCATTTATGCAAAAGAAATTCGATTACGAATTTTAAAAAACAAAGTGAGAGATAGAGAGACGAACCTTCTTGCGGAGGCTAGAGGTTCCAGGATTGAGAAACAGTTAGAGATATCTGTACTTGAGTTCTCCAGTGTGCTTAAGCCAGTGGAGAACTCCAGCTACATTGTTAATTCCTGGGTACCTACAAAGTTAGCATCTTAATTAAAATTTCATTAGTATTTCATGCATTAATAAAAGCAAAGTCCTTGCATATAAATCAAACCCATCAAATTAAATGGACAATTAAATCCAATCCAGACTTGAAAATCCAAACTTTATATCAAATTGAGATTTTTTTTTTGAGCTCACCAGTCGGCAGTTTTTGGGTGCCTGGAACCTCAAAAGTGGAAGCTAAATGCATCCCTTTGTACTTCTTTTTGTCTCCTCATCTTCCTATTTGTAAATTCCAAAAAGCTGAAATCAGAATTGCTTCAAATAATTTGCCAGATTTTACAATTCAAAAGGACACGTTTTCAAACTAACATACTAAGATATCATTAGTGGACACAAATGATTAAAATTAGTAATAAAAAACCGAAATCAAAGCAAGAAAAATAAAAATTGAAGATTGATAGCACTTACAAACGGTAGCTTGTTTGGAGACTTAACTTGAGGAAAAGTAAACAGAGAGTGAGCAATAACGGAGTAAAATAAAATTAAAACCTTTATTTCTACTCTGAGATGGTATGAAGTTATGTCTACCAATTTTATGATAAATGGGTGAAATCGTAGTGATGAAATTCTAATGTTTAGGTTTCAATTTGTTGGTAGAAGTAGGCCAAGCAATGAAGAATGTTTATTCTTGTTATTGGTTGCAGAAAAGATAAGAAGAGTTAAAATCTCAATCCTCTAGCGAATAAGAGTTAATATATCAATGACTTGGTGAATGGAATGTAATACTTGTAACTCCTAGCTTTTAGCACTAAATCTTCAACAAAATAAGAGTTAATAGATCAATGACTTGTTCATTGGAATGAAATACTTTTATAAACGCTTAAAACCAAAATGCTATCAAACTGATTCCAAGTTCAAGAAGGCAGTGGAAAAGGTAATTATCAAAATGAGAAGAATTAAACTAAATTAGGCATTGTTTTCAACACTATTAGCACACCTATGACTGGTAGGAAAAAGAAGCAGTGCTAACCTGAAGACAAAAAGTTTATCCTCTGTGTGTTGTGCCTCTCCGTGTTTTTCTTTTTCCAATAAACATGCAACCAAACCTATGCTATGAACTATCTATCCAACTCACTACCCAAAAACCCAATTAAAAACCAAGAAGCATAATTCAAGCATTATCAAAATAGGTAAAATCATAGACATTGGTCATATGTAGAGTAAAGCACAATTTGTTCCACCAACTTCTCCAACAAAAAATAAAGAGATTTGAGCTTTTACCTCATGGATGAATTATGCTCCCACCTACTTCAAAAGGCCACAAAGTTTGAACATCACACTGCAGTTTGGTATTCACTTCAAAGGAAATATGATCAAAAGACAATTATGCTCTTGCTAATCACAAATGAGGTCATAAGGTAAAAAAAATTCACCGCTCAAATTTTAGTGAGTAAAACTGCAATGATGCAGGAAATCATTTAGAAGCTTGAGATGAACAAAAAATTAAATTAATTGACTAACAAAATCGAAGCCATTCCCCCAATTTTAACCAACATCCAAATATCCAAATTTGCACAGAAGATTCATTTCCACATTCGAATTTACAGTTCTAGAAATCATAATATATTAAGAAAAATAACAATGAACTTCTGAAGTAGAGCATGATGCACAACTCGGAGAACTCACCAAGAAACCCTAGCTCTTCTGCGCAAAAAATTCCTTCAAATCAAACCGAAAAACAGAACATGGGTAACTGAATTCAATAAAAATTAAAATACAATCAATTTATTGTTAACCATAAATTTTCACCGTTGAAAAAAAAAACTCCAAATCAGCCCAAACGATCCCAAACTCTAAAAGTCGTTCAAACCAACTTACCATAAAATCAAAGCCACTTCACAAATCCTCTTCAAATCCACACCAAAAATGATGAAAAAGATGTGGAATGCGCGGAAGAAACAAAAGATCAGTGGAAACAAACTGAGAAAATCAAGTATCCGTGAGAAAGAAATGAAAACCCCAAGAAAATTCGAGAAAAGGATGGACGCGAAGCAAACTGAGAAAATGAGGGTTGAGAGAAGCAAATGGAAAGGCGAAAGAAAATTGGAGAGATCGAATCGAAAAGGAAGATCGACGCATGGAAGACACAGGAGGATATAAAACCCCAGACTACAAAATGAACACCCAAAATAAGAAAGAAAGCAAAATTTCAACATGAAACCAATTTGCAACAAAACAAAGTTGTACCTATAATTCCAAACAACACAACCTGCTCCGTTAACAATTTGCAAGAAAAACACCATGATGCAGAGAGTCGAGAGAAAACCAAAGCTGAAAATGAAAGAAAGAAAGCATAAAGCAACACAACCTGCTCCATTAACAATTTGATAATAATAAGATAATATATATGTGTGTGTGTATATATATATTTTTTTTTTCTCTCACTACGCATCATGACCTCTCATTTTCATATTGGACTTTCTTTTCTACCCTGCACAATATATATATATATATATTTCGCATTTATTATCTCTTTTTCGAGAAATGGGTCTTGGTTACTGCAATGGCAATGGCATCCCTCTCTTTTGCTCTGTCTTGCTCTCAAATGGAAAGGGATGATCAACACGTGGGTCTTTGCATTTATTATCTCTTTGGTGGATAGCTTTTTTTCAAAAGCTTCGGATGTAGCATAGGTGACTACATGCTGATGAGAGACGCAAGGCCGCCAAGGACAAAATGGACGGAAAAGTCGAGAAGGTGCAAGCTGGTTAGACGATGACCGACGTGTGGCCAAGATCTGTAAAAGCGTCATCTCGCTGTACCAAACGGGCAAGACAACGGGCAACAAAGAAGATATCAAGGGGTATTTTAGCCATTACACTGCTCGTGAACAATGCTTTTCTACCAGGTTTTAGTATATAGATAATTAGGGGTGTGATATGCACATAACCTATTTTACTTCTCACACACCTTTTTAATTTTCGACCGTCGGATCGGATGAATTGAAGAAAATCAACGGACGGAAATTATCAAGGGGTATGTAAGAAGTAAAATAAGGTGTGTGAATAGTACATCCCTATAATTAAGGTGTTTTCTCTTTAGCACTCTTTTTAACTAAAAGTATTTCTTGGTATTTTGAAACCCTCACCGAACTCCATGCTCCATCTATAGGTCTAGATAGACATTAAAAAATTACTGGAATAATTAACTAGCAAGCACCAAAAGAATGTACAAATATAAAAAGGTAGTGTTACGATCAGTGGGATGATTATGACGTATGCAATGAATTCTATAATGTATCAATAGCCACCGGACTGTGCTAACTATTTCTGTCGGATAGGATAAATAGCTACCAAATAGTACTGACTGAATTAGTTAGGCGTTTGGTGCAGTATCGGACTGATGACCGTATTATTTATACTGTGTTTGGTACTAAACCAGATAGGACAAAGGAAAAAATTTTTTTGACAAAACTTTATTTGTTTGTTGAACTTTTCTCATATTTATACCTATTGAAAACCACACAAATTTTCAAATAACAAAGAAAAATAGTAAATTTCATACATCAAATTCAAAATATTTTCCAATAACATAAAAGAAGGTTCACAAAAAACAACTACAGTCGTTACGTTATATATATTAATCCAACCACATATCCAAGTTTATAAAATATACAAATGCTTGAATAGCTTGGGAGCTCCAAGTTCAAACTGAGTCATTGTTTCGTGTTTGAAACAACCATTATCACATCGCAAATTCTTAACAACTGCCTCCTCAAGTATGGACAGCAATGCATCTTCTTCATATTGTTTCCAAACCCTTCTACTTCCTTTTAGTTGACTACTTTGTTCACTTTCCATACCTATAATTACGTACACAATAAGATAGCATATAGTCAATTGTGCATATAATTAATAGTACGTGATAAAAACTATAAGCAAATTATCACACTCATCTGCAGTAGTAGGATACAAAATGGATACAAGCATACATGGGTATTGCCCAATGTAGAGTTATCAATTCCAATCCTACATCAAGGTGGATCAAACTTAGCTTCGTAATAAGTTCCTTATACTAAGACTTATTTTTTTTCAACTTCTATGCACTTTATCAGTGACTTTTGCTTGGTTTTACTTTTGGGAGTAAAATTTAAAGAGAATTGTGAATAATGAATTGAGTTTATATCTATTTAGCCCCAAAACTAAACTATATGTCCATCTAAATTATCACTTGATCATAACTCTACCTTTTTTCTGGGGCAGGGTGGAATAAAAACCCAACCAATTTTTTTATCCAAATAAAAGCTTAATTAAAGTGGGAAAAGAAAAATTCAGCAATCTAACTGTCTATATTTAGCAAAACTAGTGAAATATCATAACTTGATCTGCCAACCATTTAGCCCAAATCAAATTAAACTGAGATCCCATATGATACCAAGAGATGCTACCAATGAAATTTTCAGATGATAGAAAATCTAGGAAATTGGGTCAACCACAAAACCAAAATGCTCTGTTTGGTTGCTCAGAAAATAAGCAAAAGAAAGTACAACATAGTCATAAGATACGAAAATCCAGTTAGCCAAATGAAAGTGTATAGGACCAAGGTAGAGTTATTTCCATTTTTATTTCCTTTTATTAAACTCAAACAATTGTATGAGAAACACAGAAGTCAAAGAGGGCCATGTCAATGCAGCTCATCCCCACCTTCCCAAACAAGGAATGAAAGTCAATGATGACCCCCACATTCACTGGGATCGTTGTGTTTTGTGCCATGGCTAAGAAAATCCTAAAGAATAACAAGAAGAAGAAGATAGAAGAGACATGACAATTGGTAATCTTGGTCATGTTTGAATATCTTGGATGTTTTGCAATTCACGGCATGAAAGACTACGTAGATACTAACTTATATGATGATTATGGACGATGAGATTTGGAAAATTGGAAGAAACCTTGCTTGAATAGCTTGGAAGCTTCAAGTTAAGAAAATTTCATGTTTTGCAAACAATGACATTAATGTTCAAGAAAGTCCAGTTGAAAACCACCAAAATATAGAAACATATTCAGGGGTGTAGCTACAAATACCCCAAGATTGCTATATGATCTACTATAAAAAGATGGAAAATTCGAAGAAACCTTGCTTGAATTGCTTGGGAGCTTCATGTTAAGAAGACGAACCTGGACTTCAGCTGGGAGAGCAAGCGCGAGAGGCAGAGAGAGGATCTGGCAAATCTACAATTTGACCCCAACAACAAATCCTAAAATTCGAAATTTGTAATTAAAACACAAAATTACATAATCAATTTCATAATTATAGAGAAAACAATAACTAGATTCATCAATTGAAAGAAAATTGCAACAGCAAGACGGGCGCAACTTGGGAATAAGAAGAAAACTGGTGGGATTCAAACGAAGAAGAAGATGAAGACGAACCTGGACTTCAGCCAAGAGAGCAAGCGCCAGAGGAGAGCATCTGGAGAGGACCACGACCAAGCGTGAAAGGACATTGCGTCTGGAAAGGAAGGTGACAGCACTCCGACTAAATTGTACAAAAGTTTTGGACGGTATAAGCAGTCGGGTAACAAGCATATTAAGTAGGTGGGCCTAAATTATTTAATCCGGTAACTATTTAATACGAACGAACACCAGACACCGTACTCCGTATTATTAGTCCTATCCGATGTCCTATCCGGTGTAGCAATCACGGCCTTAGGATCCAAATATAACCCTAGCTAGGCCTGCAAACTAGATTTTTGTCCCAGTCAAACGTTCATTATATTTGGTCAAGACCCACATGGCATGATGGGAACACATCGTTGGCCACTATCCAATTAGGACCCTTCAAACAGTGCACGCTTAGGTGAGGTTAGCCGACCTAATTTAAGTCCCAACCCCAACAACGTTGCCTGTCTTTTGTTTTTAGGAAATTAATAAAAAAAATTGAAAAATTTTGAGTTTTAACCATAAGGACAAAATAAAGAGTAAAGTGAATAGCATTAAGATTGACTTTTTAGTGTAAAAATATGATTTTTCGTTAAAGTGAGCAGTACCGAGAGTTTTTCATTAAAGTTCCCGTTGTTTTTTCTTCAATTATAATGTAATTGGAAACTGGAACTGGTTGCTATCTCTTCCTATTAAATTGACATGAAATTACGAGTCTAGATCTACTAAGTTTTACCATTTATAGATCGTTTTATAAGACCATCCACATGGTGACCTAATAGTACAAATAATAAAGTTGGATAAAATTCCAACCACCTAGGTAAGTTTAGTTTTTGTAATTGTTGATGACTATATTCTCTTGAATTCCAATCGACTGAAGGTCTCTGATTCTACTCACATGCATAACGATGATTCTATATATGTATATATATTTGTGACGAGTTCTATGCAAGGAAACTACAAAAGCAATTGTAGTTCAAATGGTTAAAAAATTTTGCTCATGCACATGAGGTCTCGTGTTTGTACCCCTCATTCCGCTGGTACAAAAAAGGAACAGAGGAAGTAGATGGACCACGCATCTGCATTTTTCAATCTGAACCCTGTATTCTTGAACAAGTTTCATACGAATACAAAATATACAGTTTCCAGTTTTTATGTATTGGACATTCATAAATAGGCAAAAGCGAAGGGGAAAGTAATATTGCAGCAGAGGGAGAAGGAACTACTACATTTGAAGAAATAACCAAACACATTTATCTGATAAACATATAAATATACATGAATTTTTTCTATTACCTTAGATCTCTCTGTGCTTCACACATTCGGTGAGGCACATAACATACCCCCTACTAGTCTTGCTGTGGTAGTACATGAATACAATACAATTACAACGCAAATCAACTCTAGGAAATGGATATAGAAATCCCTACATGGAGCGGCTACGATGCTGGATTGTTACTCGAAGATGTTGCTGTCCACCCGTTCTGTGTTCCGTTATCAACAGGCACCAAAACTCCCCACTTCCCCTCAGATTCCGAGGGCTCTATAACTTTAACAGATCCATCTGTCAGTCCAACAGCGAATTGGTACGGCTCCTGCAAATGTGCTGTAAGAGCCAGCGGGTACACAGATGGGCTGTCGCAGGGCAGGAAGAAACTAGTTTAGATAATCAATAACTATACAACGGAAGATTCTAGTGATAACAGAAGGCAAATTTTTCTTCTTCTTTTTCATTTTTCAACTTAATCAAGAGGTGATGCACGACTTTTTGTTCCTTTTACTTCAACTAATTCATTTTTCATACTAACACGGGGGAAAATCTAAGTAAATCAGACATAATGTTTGATAGAATGAGATTGCCGCCTCATAAACCAGTCATAGTTCAATGCTCTAAATACCTGTTTGATGATGCTTGTGGTAAGTACACCGACATGGCAATACGGCATCTTAGTTTCAGACTATCAGCATCAAATACTCCAATGTTACCATCAGTAAATGCTGCATAAACTAGTTGACTACTTGAAGAATATGCTGCACAAGAAATGGGCGCAGGCAGAACATCTTGTGGCATCCACTGCAATATTTAAAAAAAAAATGAGGGGATTTGTTGTGCACACAAACAAAAGTAACTCATCCTAGAAGTTCTATTACCTGCCGAATGCACTCTGATTTGGCCGCATCATATAATGCTAGTTGAGTCTCATGGTATACCAACAATCGGACTTGATCAGAATAGAATTGCACATGCGTGTCACCGACAGGCGCCTTTCCAGCGGGCAACTGAAGTGGAACCGATTTCCTCTTATCCCATGTATCCATGTTCCAAAAGCATAGCTGCAAAATCATTTTCTTTACATATCCAATCACTGGTAAACATTAACTTGCATATCAAAAGGAGAGGAAGAGCCGTCGCATACTTGAGCATCGGCACCTGATGAAACCATGATTTTAAGGTTGACAGAAAATGCTAAACCAGTAATGTGCTTCTGGTGGCCTTTCAGTTTTGCTTTGACCTAACAGAAGAGCAGCACGATTCATATTGGCAATCAAGAATAGCAATTCAATCACATGTTAATAGAATCATAGATATAGAGATTCTTAAATCAATCACCTCATCAAGTCGAACATTGTAAATGTGGATAGTTGAATCTTCCATTCCTATTGCTATGATATTATTATCCAGAGGATGAAATGACAAGTAGGTTGACACTGGTGGAGGTGGCATGAAAGTTGTCATTACCTGCAAACCAAAATTTTTTCATCCCAAACACGCTTGTCATTCCAATGCATGCAGAATCATGCAAACTGTAGTAATTGATAGAAACTGTCGTAGGATAGATCTGCACTATATACACATTAAATTACCTTAAAAGTCATCATATTGAACAGAGACACCTTTCCTCCACAGGCTGACATCACATAAGAGTCATTTTTTGAGAGTGCAATGCATGGAACCGCTTCTTCAACATTTTCTGAGACATCATTAGTCATTAAAAGACCACTGTTGGGTTGCCAATGTTGGGGAACAACACTTGCTGTGGCCTTTTAACCCACAAAAAGTCAGATACATTTTCATGAAAGTTGCTAACACATTATATGTTCATGTAACTGAAATACATGCAGCTGAACGAAGAGAGAAATATGTATTTCATGTGGGTGTTGACTATCACCTTCCCACTTAGATTTTGTTCATTGCGGCTCCACTTCCATAGCTTCTGCACCCCATTTGAACCGAGAGCCAGAATGCCAGAACCAGAATTTGTATACAGAAGTCGAGCAACCTTTTATAAAAGTAAGACCATCTTAATAAAATTATCCATGAACAACAAAAGAGGGAACTAGAAAACAAAACCAACCTTGTTAGTAGGATCTTTACTTGCTGGCATAGTAGCCACTCGACACTGAACGGGATCTACAATCTCCGCCAGTTCCCAACGTTTAATCTTGTCAGATACATCATCTAAGCTTCTTCTCTTTTCCAGGCTTCTTGCCATATCGGCTCTTGCCATAGAATCGGCTCTTGCCATAGAATCAGCTCTTGCCATTGAATCAGCTCCATTCTACAACAAATATGCAGCAGAATGAGATGCTAGAGCAGAAATAAGGATAAGGATAAATCACAATCCACCTAGTTAATATATTAAACTGAGTATGGTGACATTGGCTACAACGTTTCAGTACTAACAAGCTACAATTGTACTTTCGTTTTTCAAGCTGATGCTAACCAGTCAATCATAATTAATTAAAAAAAAAAAAATACATGCCAAAACAATTTGAATGAGAATTATATAACTTAAATGACGTACAAGAATATGAGTCGGTCTGGCAGGAGAGCTTGTATCCATACGGTCCACTTTATTAATGGTTGGGTTGACATTCGGAACCATGGAAGAACCAGATACCTGATCAATGAACATGAACACATCAAATTCTCAACAAAGAGCAAATCAAATTTTCTAGAAACAGAAAGGTACAAATGAATGAAAGGGGTAGCATATCATGGAAACAGAAATAAGAACCTTCATCTCAATAGGTCCTCTGGATGCTTCATAAGATCGAGTTTCAATTGCTCTTAAGGATCTTAGACCCTCAGCATTAGCAAGAATTTTGATTCCGTTGTCAGACGTGGTAGCAGCAAGCAAATTTCCTTCCTTATTGAATCTCAAGCGGGGAAGAGTCTGAAGCAATCCCAACGTTCATAATCAATGAATGAAATCTCAAAACAATAGATTCTTTTATTCAACTTATAATATTTGGAAATAGATGTCTGAATAATGAGGACTTTTACCAGAAGTCCACCGTCAGCATCTGTACCAGTAAGAACATTTGTATTATCCATATCCCAAAACTTTATCTGATTATCTTCACCAACAGCCAAAAAGTGATTTTTTGTTGTATCAAATTGCACTATGCCAGAAGATTTTTTTCTGAATCCATTATATGTCCTCTTTATTGCCCCTTCACTTTCATTCCATTCAACGAGGAAAGAATCACCATCTTTACTAGTCCCACAAGAGAATAATCTGAGATTTAAGATGATCAGTTATAACTCATACATCGTCACACAAACAGAAAATATGCGAAAAAGGTAATTTATAGCATAAACCATGTGGATATTCTTTTGTACCTATTTCCGTCGTCACTGTAGAGCATTGTGGTGCACCACTGCCCAGGAGCATCATAGTCAACCCTGGAGCCCACATTGTCATACAGCCAAGCTTTTATTTTCCCATCAACAGCAGTTGAAAATATGAACTGCAAAGATAAAAAAAGTAAAATTACGACAACAGCAAGAGCAGCTTGATGCGACACCATTGTCTCACTCACTTTCGGTTAGTTATTATAATAACAGTAATCATCATAATTAGTTATCTTATAAGAAGGAACTTTTGTGAAATTCCACCGGCATAACAGGATATATAAGAATTGAAATCTACAAGTAACAAGGAATTTCAAGGTAAACAAACAAATATCATACTAAATAAGAAGGTCTACCACTTCGAGCTATTTAGTTCTTTGAACATTCACAAATGAACTCTAGCGCCACTGAACAGGCCATGTAACGTATAAATAAAATTAGAGTGCCCACATTCAACCAGTCATTTGAGAACTAGTAACATTAAGTGGTCATAACACATATGCAGACTTCAGCAAATGGACATGACTTACCTGAATATTCTCCTTCTGGTGGGGGCAAATTGAGTAAACAGGCGCTTCATGACCTTCAAAGCTGAATAGAATTCTTCCACCCAAATCCCAAACCTATTATGGTTTTAAACAAATAATCCACTTAATATTGATCAAGTTAAACAAAAACAGAATGCTGCAATATTTAGTCCCCCACCTTTATCAGCTTATCCTCCCCACAAGTTATAAGACATAATTGCTTGTTTGGATGAGAAAAGGCTAAGTCATTCACATTGCCACTGTGAGCATCAATCTATAAGAAAACCAAATCCAAACATCAGTGTAAAGCGGCAAAAAATATCTTCTTGATCTTGAATTAGCACAAAGTGAATCAAAACATACCTCCAAATGTTGCCGTAGATCAGTTGGTCCTTGATAAGCGTACAAATGAACCAAGTGTTTGGTAAATGCAACACCTGTACACAAAAAAATACCCAGAATTATATCCAACTTTGCATTCAAATTATGCTAGAGATGCACTGCAGCTCCACATACCAATTAAGCTTCCATCTTGATTCCATGATACACGGCTTACAGATATTGACGGATCTTTGACCATAGCAACCTATAAGAGACTAAAAGTCAACTTACAGAAGTGGTAAATGCTCAATAATCATAAGTAGTGCAGGCCTCTGATATTAAACTTTAACAAAATATCATGACGACACCATTACTTTGAAAACAGATGGAACCTACTAAGCACACATAAATATGATGTTTTTAATGACGGGATAAAGAATACTGATAGGACGTATAAGGTTCCGACTGAGTAATGATACACACCTGAAATGCATTAGAACAAGCAGTCATATTCCATACTTTGAATGGCTTTGACACTAGCTTCTCTCGTATCCCAACTTCCCACAGTGTAATTTCGCCATTATCACATCCAACTATTTATAAACATAAATCTTAAGTCAGCTCTGAGATTAAAGCTGCTTAAAAGCAAAATTTTAAAGACAACGCTTTCAATCTAAGACGGGTCAAGCACAATTTACGTTATGCGATATATAAAACCTACCAGCAAGTAATGTGTGATGAGAAGGGTGGAAATCCATGCTCATCACATTGAATCCCTGACGAAGAGTGCACGCTACAGTCCTCGGTAGGTCATCTAGTGACCAGGAAGCATGCTGGGGAGGGGGAGGATAACTGACCTGAATAAATGAAGTAGGAAGCTCCATAATAGTTCATAACAGTGGAACATCCAGATGCAGAACCATAAAATGCAAGAAAGAGGTATCCATAACTTATGCAGATACTTGAATCTGTCCAATAATACCTCATCAACAGATTGTGCAGGCCGCAGGCGTTTCATTAGTTGCTCGTGATCTGAGCTTTGATAATCGCTCATTCCAAGAGCATTTGAGGGTGTTCTTGGATGCTTTAAAACAGAAACTGTTCATGCAGCAAAATTGTTGTCAATAACCAAATAGCTTGAAAAATATGAACTATATTCTGTTATCTTATACTTTATGCAAGTAAAACAATGATAATCAAGCTCAACAGTAAAAACTTCTGGTTGGACATTAGATAACTGAATTAATTCTTCTTACAAGTATGATAATGCTCAATAAACTGGTGGAATGACCCAGCACAAAGAACTAATCTAGAAAAGTTTCTTTAACCTCCCTACTCGTTACTGACACAAATAAGTAGTGACTATATTTTCTTCTTAATTCTACTTTGTCACCTTATTAAAATTGTGTTTCGAAACAAAGAAAACGGAAAGTGAACAAACAATAACCTGGATCTAAAAAATCAACTTTTGTTAAGCTGTTGTAACCTAAATTTCAGAAGAATGAAAACCACACCTTGACCGGGTTGAACAGGGAAGGGTGAAGCGGCAACAACAGCTGATTGCACAGACAAGGAAGGATTAGCATTCGACATCCATCCTGCTAAATTTGCATTAGCTGCAGCTGCAGCAGCCGGCGGAAAAGCCTGTACATGACAGTAACAAACAATACATATTGATATATCAGAACGTCAGCTTAGTTGAAATTCGATAAAATTATTACGAAGGATATGATCATACTCCACCATGTGCTCCTAGAGGAGCATAAGTTGGCTTTGCAAGAGCTGCAACCGGAAGAGTAACTGGCGTGGATGCACGAGCCCCATTTGTTGGAGAACACGAGTGGTCCATGAATAAGGTCTTAATATCAGGATTTGGCCTTGGGTTCTTGCACAGCTGGTGTTGCCAATTTAGACTGCACAGACCATAATTTAATGCTTCACAACTTTTACAAACCGTAATCAATGATATTGACTGTGAGGTCTACCTTCATACAAAATTCAAAAGTGGAAAGGCATTACAAACACCAGCATACCTTTGATTAATTAGAGTTCGCAAGCGTGAAGCCTTCAAAGTGGGTAAAGCAAGCTTATCTCGGAAAAGCGGATTTGCTTCTATCAACTTTTTAAGCTCTACTAGCATTATGCTTCTAGCCGACTTAGTATCACCATATTTCGATAACTGCTCATTTTCTCTGCATTACATTGAAATTAAAGTTTTATTCCCCACATTTCATGTTCCCAAATTGCACAAGTTTTAACCCACATATAAACCCATTAACATGTTATGGAACCCAACTTACATATACATTAAAAATGAACTAAAACATAATTCACCTGAAGTTTTCGAGGGTCAAAAGATGCGTAATTTCCTTGTACAACTCTTCGTTAAACGTCGAGAACACTTTCAAATCCTTCACCAGTATCTCAACAGCCTTAGCTCTGTCATTCCTGAGCTCATTTCCAAATTGCAACAAAGACCCCATCACCAAAACACAATCAATTAACACATTCCATAAAACAATCATACACACACAGAGAAACAGAAGTGATCAAAATCAGAACCTGTCGAGCGCCTCGAGATACTTCTGCTTTCGAACCTCGAAGAAAATCTTCATCGAATAGCGATTCTCATCGACCTTGGTGAACCCAGAGAGGTACTTCTCGACCTCGTCCCACTCTCCAGCCAGTGCCTTCTCCTCAAAGTACTTCATGTTGAAGAAGTACCCCGATTCCTGCTCCAGCCTGAGCTCCATCGAATTCAAATTTCAAACCATAAACCCCTAAAATTAATTAAAAACCCCCAAAAATTGAAAAAATAAATAAAATTGCCCACCTGTGTACGGACTCCTTGAACTTCTCTTCCTCCAGAAATTGGAGGATCAGGAACACCAGTTCTCTGCTCAAAGACGACATCTTCGGTTCTCTTCCCCTCGATTTCAAATCTCAAGTTCAAATCTTTCCGTCCGCGGCGGAGGAGAAATGGGAGGAAACGGCGGCGTTTTGGGTGGAGGCTTGGGGCGGCCGGGCGGGGGGTTTCAATCGGTTTTCTAGGGCGAGTGGAAAGGGTCTAGGGTTTCAGGTCCCATGATTTTGCTTTCAACGACAACAGTGCAGAAGCACCAACGAGAGAAAGGTAGAAAAAGATAAAGAGGAGAGAGAGAGAGTCTTTATTTGGCACACACACATCAGCCATCGCTGATAAGCTATCACTGAAAGTGAGCGATTGATATGCCCATAGGTGATAAGCACACGGGCTTATCTACTGAGTGGGGAATCGAGAGAGAACTGCGAGGCGCAGTGGGTCATCATTCGTAAAAGGAGGAGATTCCATTTGGTTAGGGCTGTTATCCGGTACGACGCCTGCAATCGTGAGGACAAGTCTAGGTCGTTGAAGTTTAACGTGTTGTGAACACGCGTCGGTATTTGATGGGTTGGGGAGATGTGGGAGGTGGGAGATGGGAGTAGGTGACTGGAGTCCTGAAAGGGAGTCCGGGTAACCGGAATGGAAGCTGAAAATTAAATGGGATTGAATATACGGGGTAACGTCCACCGCATCCCATTTCATTGTCGGGTGTCTGCGTGCAAGCTCTCCCACTTGGATCTCCTGCCAGCAACACATGATTGCATCTTCTTAATTTTTATTTTTTTTCCCGGAGCATGTGGCATCCCACCCCGAAAAGGACAAATCCCCAGCCAAGCCCGAAAGGTTAAATGCATTTTAACTTATTTTAGAAATAATTTTTTATTATAATCGGAACACGAATAGTACATAATTTAAATAGTAAAATATGTGTGTTAAAAAATTAATAACACATATGTGTGTTAAAAGGTATTCTTAAAAGAATAAAAATTTTCACTATTTATATAAAAACACATGATGTACACCCGTTTTCCGTTTAAGGTAAAAAATTTCTCCAACTTTTTTTTTTGGTACAAAATTTCTCCAATTTTGACTATGATCAAATAACACACGTCTTTTTAAAGTTTTCAAACAGAAAATTACAGTATTAAAAAAAATAAAAAATATCTAGGTTCCCAAAATACCAACTCGCTACTGATCCAATGGGCATCAAACACATGGACCCTCTCTTTTCTATTGACAGCTGGATTAATTTGTTTTCTTTAACTCCTTATTTTACGAGAGATTTTCAGTATGCCCAGAACACTATCACACATATTGTATGTCGTTATACAAGTAAATAGACATTTGAAAAAAAAAAAAAAAAAACTTCTCCACTTGTATAATAACATGTAGTGTAGCGTAGTCTAATGTTTCCAGTAGATTGAAAAATCTCTCCTATTTTAGCCCAAACATTTTTTTGTAAGAAAAAAAAATAAGTTCAGGTAATAATTAATTTTGGGAAGTGTTATTGGCATTCCAAAAATCTCATTCTACACTCTTGATAAGTGTATTTTTCTTTCCTAATATAGAAAGTTTGGAATGTATAATAAGATTTTTGGAGTGCTAATAATAATTCTCTTAATTTTTCTAAATTCACAACTTCTTGGTAACCCTATATGGGCTGCGAGCTGGGAAACCCATATACTATTCAAGCAAACCCGTCTCGGCCCATACCCGAAATCCAAAACCCTGAAAAAACCCTTCAATAGAACGCTAGACACAGAAGAATTTGAGAGCTCCAGAGTACTCCAATGGCGGCCAAGAAGCAGGAGAAGACCTCGTCGAAGAAGAGGAAGCAAATCCCAGGCAATAAGCTGGAGACCCACAGCTCCTCTTCCAAGAAGCCCAAGCTCCTCGACTCCAAGCGCTCAAATCCTCGAAGCACCGACTTCAAGAAACCCTCCAAACCTTTCAAGCCCCGAGAACCAGGACTCGATCATGAGAAACAAGTTCCGCTGTCGAAGCGAGAGGGCCGCCTCCGTGCCAAGGTCGATATCTGATCAATTTAACAAAGAAATTGGGATTTTTGATTCCTCCAATAAGAATATGTTGCTAAAGTTTTGTTTTTTAATGGTAAATCAACAATTTTGATTTGCGGCTTTTGTTGCAGGAACTTGCGGAGGCTAGGAAGAAGAAGCGGAAGCGTCATTACAATTTAGAGCAAGTGAGTTTTGTTCACTTCAATTTTTTTCTTTTTATGAGCATTTCAATTTGCAAATGATTCATAGGGAAAGGAAAATATCAATAGGTATTGGTGGTGCTTGTGCGACATAATTTGAATGTTAATCGGTTGATGAAACTCCGCCTTGTATGATAACATGCAAAAATGTGCACCAGGCGTTCAAAACTAGTACCGCCTCGTTAATTCATGCTTTGTTAATCCCATTTAAATGCTCGAACTACGAGCTTATTGTGGCAATGGGATGCACCTTGTTTTTTGCCCCTTATTTTAATAGGAGCTTGCACATCTGTGGGAAAAGATGCGGCAACGAAATATATCCAAAGAAGATCGATCCAAGTATGTAGTTTGAAATGAGTTATATTGCAATTCTACCTCAATCATCTCTCTGTAAAGCCATGTTCTTCATTTACTTATTCTTGTTATCTATGAACTTTGGTAAGGTTGGTGAGTGAAGCGTTAGAGAAAATGAAGGGGAAAATTCCTGAAATCGCAAGTTCCCATGTGTCTTCTCGTGTTCTGCAGGTTTTTATCTTCATTTATCAAATGATTTGAAGTTTTAAGTCTTTGTTTTCTTTTAGTAGCCTGTACTTATGTGCTCCTTTTACCTTAGACTTGCGTTAAGTACTGTTCACAAGCGGAAAAGGATGCAGTTTTTGAGGAGCTTCAGCCGCATCTTCTTACTCTTGCATGCAACACATATGCTGTTCATCTGGTGACCAAAATGTTAGACAATGGTAAGGTTGAGCTTGGAAGTAGATATGTATAAAGTTGTACTCTTTGACTTTCGTACAAAACTATTATAGTTTGAATATCATTGGTAGCGCACAGCCTTTTGTTTTCTGAGAAATTATTAAGTTGTTACCTATGCTTTATTTGGCAGCCTCCAAAAAGCAGCTAGCGGCATTTATCTCCTCTCTCCGAGGACATGTTGCTTCCCTTCTTCGTCACATGGTTGGTTCTGTAGGTATGTTAGATGCTCTCTGCAGTCCTTGGAGATATATCTCACAATATCCAACCAACCTTTTTTGTTTCCTTTATCACTCTCTAAGCGGTTATAATATTATTGCTACTTTTCTAAATCCTCCTATAGTCGTTGAGCACGCATACCAATTGGGAAATGCAACTCAAAAGCAAGAGCTTTTGGTGGAACTATATTCTACAGAGCTTCAGTTGTTTAAGGACTTGGTCTCGAAGAATGAGGGCAGGTAAAGGAACAGCTGTGTATATTCATTTTACATGAATGTAATGTTATCACATTCTCATTGCACTTTGTATCAAATTCAGGTTACTAGATATAATTTCAAAGCTAGATCTGCAGAAATCTTCTGTCTTCCGGCACATGACTTCGGTGATTCAACCAATTTTAGAGAAAGGAATAATTGATCACTCTATAGTACATAGGGTGTTGATAGAGTACTTCACAATAGCTGAGCAGGTGTGGTTTAGATATTAATTGTAAATTATCATTTTCTGAATCTTGCCTACAATTACAATATAGGCCTTTACTTGTCATTTTGTCTCTCCTTTCTAAACATCACGTTTTTGGTTTTAAGTTCTCTGCCGCAGATGTAATTAAACAGTTGTCGGGTCCACTTCTTGTTCGGGTGATACACACAAGGGATGGATCCAAGGTTGGGATGCTCTGTGTCAAGCATGGTAGTTCAAAGGTAGATTGTTATCATATCAAGTGCAAATTGATGTCAGTTGACCAAATGTGTTGGAATTTTGGCTACTAATCTACTTTATCTTTTAATTTTATGACTTGTTTTTAGGAAAGAAAGAAGATAATTAAAGGAATGAAAGGCCACGTTCATAAAATAGCTCTTGATCAAGGTGGAAGCATGGTAAGCTTAGGAGACTTTATATTTTTTTTTTCCTTTATGTTATTTTAGCACTTACCTGTGATATTGTGTATTCATTTTTTTAATTTCGATATTTCTTTCTGTATTGTTTCAGTTGTCTTCATACAGCTTACTCTAATGTTTTGCATATCTGAAAATGAATGAATTCTATACTTCCCAGGTGCTTGTTTGCCTTGTTTCAACTGTTGATGACACGAAGCTTACTACAAAGGTTTGCTTTTCTTGTGGTGTTTGTTGCAGATAGGGTTTTATTTATTTATTTTTGTCACCAGGGGGTGGAGGGGGTTGTGGTATATGCAGATTTCTGGTGACCCTTTCTAATTCAGATACTGCTTATTACAGGTTGTCATTAATGAGCTTCAAGAAAACCTAAAGGATCTTGTTCTCGATAAGGTTGTCATTTCTTTCTACTGCATAAAGGCTTGATCAAGTTTTCATATCTACAGTCTATAGTGGTCCTATTTCAACTATTCTCTACATTCCTAAAAGATGTTTTTCTATTGCAATCTTTCAGAATGGAAGGCGCCCATTACTGCAGCTACTTCATCCAAATTGTTCACGTTATTTGACTCCCGATGACCTGGCTTCCCTCAGTTTGTCTATCCCTTCTCTTTCCAACAAGGTAGATTTCATATTCTCTTTTTGTAGAAAATAGAAATGTATTTGGCCAGTAATTCATTATGCATGGGAACTTACTCTGTTTCTATGTATTCTCAGGTTGAACCAGACAATTCTGAAACAAAATCTTCAAAGGTTAACAAATCTGGTGAAGAGGCCAATAGTGATTTGGAATTGGATGAAGCTGATATGAATCCTGATGATGGCCTCCACTCAGTTGAGGGAGGAAAAAAGGATCCTGCCGTTCGAAGGCAAGAGTTGTTAGTCAAGAGTGGGTTGGCCGAGGTTTGTTGCTTTTAACACAAAACAGATTCCAATTTGAACATAGACATTATTAGTCAAATTGATTTAAATTAAACTTGACTGTCTTTTATACTAAGACATTGACTTTGATCGGGTATGCCTTGCAGAAGCTAGTTGATGTATGCATTACAAGTGCAGGGGAATTACTTAGATCAAATTTTGGCAAAGAAGTCATATATGAGGTACCTATTTCACTAGTTCCATTTAATGCAGATATATTAACCATGGAAAACGTTTTAGCATTCCATCCAATTCCCGT